CTCTTGCTCTCAGGGGATGCTCAGTGGCTGCTGTGTCCCCGGGGGTGGGGAAGGGCTCAGATGTTGCTCTGGAGCTGGAGGTCCATGGCGTTGTTGGAGGCTGAGGACTGGCTGGGCAGAGAATCTTCTGAGCCGTCCGAAGACCCCGATGGGGGCTTGTACTGGAAGCAGGCAATGGCAAAGAAGAGGAAGCCCAGCACCTGGGGACAGAGGAGGAGCCACTGGACCCCCCGAGCCACCTGCTCCAAGGCCCCCCCGCCCCTTGAACCTGGCCCACCCGGGAGGAAGACACGTCTTTCCCACATAACCAGCTCCTAGAGTGGGTACCAATATTGTTAACAAGGAAATGAAAAACATTTGACTAAAAACTGAGGCACAGGATAAGGTGGCAGGGCTTGTCATGGGTTGAACAGTGTCTCCCCAAAAGATATGTCTGAGTCCTAACCCTGCGTGCCTGTGGATGGGACCTTATTTGGAAATAGGGTGTTTGTAGGTGCAACTCAGTTATGGGTCCTGAGACGATGACATCCTGGATTTAAAGTGGGCTCTACATCAATGACACGTGTCCTTATGAGAGAGAGACAGGGAGATCTGAGGCAGACACGGAAGGAAGACTGTGTGAAGATGAAGGTAGAGACCAGAGCGATGTGTCCACACAGCAAAGATTGCCGGAGCCACTTCCAACACGGGAGAGGCTGGACCAGATCCTACCTCAGAGTTCCCAGAAGGGACTGACCCGCCCACACCTCAATTCCTCATTACGGCAGCCACAGACACCTAACACGAACCGGTCAGTTACTTCCCCGCAACAGGGAGTGACAGCCACCCTGCGGGGGCATGCGGGGACACGGCAGGCTGGCGCGCAGACCCTGGAGACCGCGCAGCCCGAGAGCACCTCACACACGCAGCGAGCTGTGCACACAACTGAGGCGTGAACCCCGGGCTTGGGCAGAACCTCCCACGTGCTTCCCGGAGCACCGCCCCCGCGCTCACAAGAGCAAGGCTGTTTCAACTTGGTTGCGCGGCGATCTGATCGATGGGGACTTTCAGGGCCTGGCCTGTCTACCCCTCTTCTAAAATCAACGCCTTGCTTCTGGAGCCGACCCCAACCCTCTGCACGGTTCATGCCGGCTGTGCGGAGCTCCTGGGTTGTGGTCTGGGCAGACGTGGGCACCAGCCTGCTGCTCAGCATCCAACATACAGGAAAGGAAAGGCAAGGGACAGTTCCCTGGGAAGAGTGTGTCTCTGTAAATTGACCAACAGCTTTTCTCCAGAGCCACACAAATCCCTTCTCACACATGGCTATTTTTGTGCTAATCCGAGGGGAGATAAACACAGGTCTCCTTCCTGGCTTCAAGCCCTTCTCTTTCTCCAAGCCTCCTGCACGGAAAGCACCTGGGGCCGGGGCCCCTGTGAGCTGAATGCCCCTGTGTCTGCCACCCCAGAAAGAGGATCACAGTCCTCTGAGCTCCCGGCCCTGGGATTTCATTTTATTTTGAAGGGTTTTTGCCCTATCCCCTAATGGGGGGACATTGAAGCTAGCATGAGCCCAGAGTTACAACAGGAAGTTTCTCTTAGCTTGAAAAGAGAGGGACAGGCTGAGAAACAGGTGGAGTTCAAGGCACGTTGAGAGTGGAGGGTCATGTCGCACATGGATACAGCAAGCAGGCCAAGGCCCAGCACTGGACCGGCCCGCCAGGCTGCCAGGAGGAGCCATCCCTCCAAAGCCCTTCACTAACCAGATCCACCTGGCACCGTCCATGCTGTGGTCGGCAGCCCCTGGCAGGCAGAGGGACAGGAGCTGCTTCTAAGGCTTGGGGCTGCGAGCTGGGTGCTGCTGGGGGCTTGGAGTGTGAACCTTGAAAGGCTCTTCCACGGCTCCATCTGATGCCGGCACATCTTCAGAGTCCCGGCACCAGCTCGTGAGGCATGTGGAAGGGATGTCCCCTTCTAGAAACAGAGCTGCAGGTATTCAGCTGGGGTTGGAGCTGTTGGGAGATCCCATGGAGTGTCCTGCCCTGAGCTAGCTGAGGAGGAAATCCCCCACTGCCCTCTGGAGAGACCCCAGGCTCCCTCCCGTGGGCGCAGCTCACCTTGTACACGAGCCCCGCAATGAGCATGTACCGGCTCATGGCCGCGTTCTGATACACAAAGCAGGAACCCTGGTGGCCGCACTGGTTCTGCCACAGAAGGCACGCCTTGTCAATCACCCAGCCGAAGGCGATGGGCCCGGGGATGCCCCCTGCAGAGAGACACTTGCTCAGCACCTGACATGCCCAGAGGCGGGCAGGGGGTGTGGGCAGTCAGGAGACCTGGGATGCGCGGGCTCTTGGAAGGGTGACATCGGCCATTGATGTTCTCAGAGGCTCTCAGAGGGGACTTAAATGTTCTTTTTCTAGGGATTCAGCATCAGGGCTGGGAGTCCCCCCTCTCTGATTCCTATGCAGCCTTCATGTTAATGAGGGGAAAAAACTCCTTGGGCAAGTAAATGACGATGGGTCCCTCTAGGGGACAGTTAGAGAACAGTGCTCTCCCCGGGTGGGCATAGCTCCTGCGGAGATGCACAGTGGCGCAGTGAGTAGACCCCTGCCGGGTGCCCTCGCACAGCGAACACACCGCACAGCTGTGCGTGATTTCCTCGTGCTCCACTGTACCTAGTGTTCTAACTACGATCCACTGGATTCCCAGGGCGAAGGATCTCTGCTGGTCAGAGACACACCTGCAATGGAAAACCACAGGTCAGTGCCCACAGAAGTGTGGCTGTGTGCCATGTCATACCCCCAGGCCAGCAGCTGAGTCCTGGCCAAGCCTCAGATCACATCACCACCTCCCCAGGTGGCAAGCACCTCATCAGAGGTCACAGACAGCTCTTTCCTACCACAGCGACAGACAGGCCCGCTTTGCCGGGGCCCAGAGTGTACCCCGGAGTGTACCCCGTCGTGGGATCTGCAGAGCTCCTCCTTCCAGTGCTGCAAGAGAAGGTTCCGGACAAAAGCAACACCTGGGCCCCCTGGCTTACCGTAAAGTTGCTGTGAGCGCAGGAATGCNGTGTGGGCAGTCAGGAGACCTGGGATGCGCGGGCTCTTGGAAGGGTGACATCGGCCATTGACGTTCTCAGAGGCTCTCAGAGGGGACTTAAATGTTTCTTTTTCTAGGGATTCAGCATTAGGCTGGGAGTCCCCCATCTCTGACTCCTATGCAGCCTTCATGTTAATGAGGGGGAAATACTCTTTGGGCAAGTAAATGACGATGGGTCCCTCTAGGGGACAGTTAGAGAACAGTGCTTTCCCCAGGTGGGCATAGCTCCTGCGGAGATGCACACTGGCACAGTGAGTAGACCCCTGCCGGGTGCCCTCGCACAGCGAACACACCGCACAGCTGTGCGTGATTTCCTCGTGCTCCACTGTACCTAGTGTTCTAACTACGATCCACTGGATTCCCAGGGCGAAGGATCTCTGCTGGTCAGAGACACACCTGCAATGGAAAACCACAGGTCAGTGCCCACAGAAGTGTGGCTGTGTGCCACGTCATACCCCCAGGCCAGCAGCTGAGTCCTGGCCAAGCCTCAGGTCACATCACCACCTCCCCAAGTGGCAAGCACCTCATCAGAGGTCATAGACAGCTCTTTCCTACCACAGCGACAGACAGGCCCGCTTTGCAGGGGCCCAGAGTGTACCCCAGAGTGTTCCCCATCATGGGATCTGCAGAGCTCCACCTTCCAGTGCTGCAACAGAAGGTTCAGGACAAAAGCAACACCTGGGCCCCCTGGCTTACCGTAAAGTTGCTGTGAGCGCAGGAATGCTGCTGAGGAATGTGAAGAAAATAACAACGAATACGAAAACCAGAAGGAGGGGCTTTGTCTGACAAGCTGAGGTACATTTCCCTGCAGTAGCGTGGCCAAAACCAGAGGAAAAGTTCTGAGAGACGCAGCTACAGTTTCGGTAGACCTGGGGAGCCCGACAACAGCGCCAGTTACCAGAGGGAGACACAGAGGCCCCTCCCCAGGGTGCAGGCAGGGCTGGGGGCTGCAGGCAGCAGCCACACTCACCTTCCGGCCACCTGGGCTAGTCTCGGCTGTCGCAGGGCACCCTGCGTGGCAGGGCGAGAAGTACAGGACGCCGTCAGAGCCGCACACGGGGTTGTAGTGCTCCAGCTGGCAGCCACAGGCTGCATTGCAGGCGGCCGTGAGTTCTAGGCCCTCAGGCTGGGGCAGGAGGCTGCAGGGGGAGGGGAGGGCGGTGGCAGGGGCGAGAGCCAGGGGGGCT